CTTTGTCAATTTTAAGTACTAATTCCTTGTAATGTACTGGTATACCTTGTACATGCACTGGTATACCTTGTACATGCACTGGTATACCTTGTACTGTACTGGTATACCTTGTACATGTACTGGTATACCTTGTACATGTACTGGTATACCTTGTACATGTACTGGTATACCTTGTACATGTACTGGTATACCTTGTACATGTACTGGTATACCTTGTACATGTACTGGTAGTAAATAAAGATTAATAGCAATAATATTATGCTTGAATGCTAAATATCATCTAACGTCAGCACAATCTCAAACTTAGCAGTGGGTGGCAAACAAGGAAAATAATACTGCTCTGTAGTGGCCTTGGACTGCCTTGCTGCATCCCTCGACCACACCTCCCCCACTATTGCACCATGTGTTGATACTTGTTGCACTAGCAATATTGTACATCGTGTATGCTCGTCACTAGGCAGACAAGCGTCGTGTTCATTACATCTTTAATTTTGCCACCGAAGTGGCTAGTTTGTGCACCTCATATCCATCCTGTGGATGGTAGTGGCTAGTTTGTTCACCTTATATCCATCCTGTGGATGGTAGTGGCTAGTTTGTGCACCTCATATCCATCCTGTGGATGGTAGTGGCTAGTTTGTGCACCTCATATCCATCCTGTGGATGGTAGTGGCTAGTTTGTGCACCTCATATCCATCCTGTGGATGGTAGTGGCTAGTTTGTGTACCTCATATCCATCCTGTGGATGGTAGTGGCTAGTTTATTGTGTACCTCATATCCATCCTGTGGATGGTAGTGGCTAGTTTATTGTGTACCTCATATCCATCCTGTGCATGGTAGTGGCTAGTTTATTGTGTACCTCATATCCATCCTGTGGATGGTAGTGGCTAGTTTATTGTGTACCTCATATCCATCCTGTGGATGGTAGTGGCTAGTTTATTGTGTACCTCATATCCATCCTGTGGATGGTAGTGGCTAGTTTATTGTGTACCTCATATCCATCCTGTGCATGGTAGTGGCTAGTTTATTGTGTACCTCATATCCATCCTGTGGATGGTAGTGGCTAGTTTATTGTGTACCTCATATCCATCCTGTGGATGTAACTGGCTAGTTTATTGTGTACCTCATATCCATCCTGTGGATGGTAGTGGCTAGTTTATTGTGTACCTCATATCCATCCTGTGGATGGTAGTGGCTAGTTTATTGTGTACCTCATATCCATCCTGTGGATGGTAGTGGCTAGTTTATTGTGTACCTCATATCCATCCTGTGCATGGTAGTGGCTAGTTTATTGTGTACCTCATATCCATTCTGTGGATGGTAGTGGCTAGTTTATTGTGTACCTCATATCCATCCTGTGGATGGTAGTGGCTAGTTTATTGTGTACCTCATATCCATCCTGTGGATGGTAGTGGCTAGTTTAATTGTGTACCTCATATCCATCCTGTGGATGGTAGTGGCTAGTTTATTGTGTACCTCATATCCATCCTGTGGATGGTAGTGGCTAGTTTGTGCACCTCATATCCATCCCGTGGATGGTAGTGGCTAGTTTGTACACCTATCCATCCTGTGGATGGTAGTGGCTAGTTTGTGCACCTCATATCCATCCTGTGGATGGTAGTGGCTAGTTTGTGCACCTATCCATCCTGTGGATGGTAGCTCCAGAACAGATACACAAAAGGCCCAGGAACTAGACCCCAAAAGGGTTAACAGGTAAAGGGCCAGGAACTAGACCCCAAAAGGGTTAACAGGCATATATTTGGATTTATATCTACCGTTAGGTTATCTGTGTGTTGAGTGCCAGTGGTAAATTACTGAGAGTTGTGTGTGTGGCATCACAGGCGATGAGATACCTTGTAGGTGTTTTTCTGAGGTTTTCTCTCTGGCTGAGGGAGAGAGACGCCAGAGTTATCTCTTTGTAAATAATGAATTAAAATAAGCTTCACTGTGTTGGTCTGTCGTACTGTGCGCGCAGCTGTTGGCTGTGAGGTGAGGCTCAAGAGCTAGAGTTCATTCAAACTGACTACGCATACCAACATGCGCGTGCACGCACGCACACTCAGGCATGCATGAACACGCAGGCACGCGCTCTTGCGCGCGCATAAACACACACACACACACACACACACACACACACACACACACACACACACACACACACACACACACAGGGGGCCGGGAGGCGAGTCTCGACCCGGCAACCACAATTAGGCGAGTGTACATACACGGTTTCAGGGAAGAAAAATCCCGTGTCACAAACCTACTGGAGTTTTATGACAAGGTGACGGAAGTAAGACACGAGAGAGAGGGGTGGATAGACTGCATTTTCTTGGACTTCAAGAAGGTCTTCGACAGCTCTTCACAAGAGGTTAATGCAAAAGTTAGAGGATCATGCACACAACAGGAAAGGCACTGCAATGGATCAGAGAATACCTGACAGAGAAGCAACAACGAGTCATGGTACTTGACGAGGTGTCAGAGTGGGCGCCTGTGACAAGCGGGGTCCCACAGGGGTTAGTCCTAGGACCAGCGTTGTTTTTGTTATATGTAAATGACATGATGGAAGGGATAAACTTAGAAGTGTCCTTGTTTGCAGATGATGTGAAGTTAATGAGGAGAATTAAATCGGTCGAGGATCAGGCAGGACTGCAAAGAGACCTGGACAGGCTACAAGCCTGGCCCAGCAACTGGCTCCTTGAATTTAACCCCGCCAAATGCAAAGTCATGAAGATCGGGGGAGGGCAAAGAAAACCGCGGACAGAGTATAGTCTAGGTGGCCAAAGACTGCAAACCTCGCTCAAGGAAAAAGATCTTGGGGTGAGTATAATACCAAGCACGTCTTCTGAGGCGCACAACCAGATAACTGCTGCAGCATATGGGTGCCTGGCAAACCTGACTAAGGAATCGTTCAAGACTCTGTACACCGTGTACGTCGGGCCCATATTGGAGTATGCCATACCAGTTCGGAATCCACATCTGGTCAAGCACGTCAAGAAATTAGAGAAAGTACAAAGGTTTGCAACAAGACTAGTTCCAGAGCTAAGTGATTGTCCTGCAAGGAAAGGTTAAGGGAAATCGGCCTGACGACTCTGGAGGACAGGAGGGTCAGGGGAGACATGATAACGACATATGAAATACTGCAAAGAATTGACAAGGTGGACAAAGACAGGATGTTCCAGAGATGGGACACAGAAACAAGGTGTCACAATTGGAAGTTGAAGACTTAGAAGAGTCGAAGGGACTTTAGGAAGTATTTCTTCAGAGTTGTCGGGTAGTCTAATAGCCTAGAAAGTGACGTAGTGGAGGCAGGAACCATACAGGCGGGGCCAGGAGCTGTAAATCGACCCCTGCAAGCACATCTAGGTGAGTACAGACATCTGGTGCTGAAGATAGCTAAGCTTCTGTAAGACCATTTTGATATCTCGTATTTTTAAGTTTCGTTGATCCAGCAGCTGGAAGATATATATATTGGTTAGTACTGTGCAATAAGACATTTCAGGTGTCTAACGAAGCTGTATATAAACAACCGTGAGTTTCCTGTTTGATATTCAAGATTCATTTGAAGAAATCCAGGGATATTATTGCAGTATACAAACCATACCACTGGTAGGATTAAAACCTGTGATCAGAGAGTCTCAGAACTCCAGACGGGCGCGTTAGTGGTGGCCTATGCTAACCTTCCTAAGATGTATAAATATACCTAGTTGGATGAATCTTATTGTAGCCAGCTGGTCCAGTGGCTAACGCGTCGGTCTGGAGTTTTACAACTCTCTGACCGCGGGTTCTAACCCCACCCATGGTATGGTTTGTTTGCAATCGTGTCATTATGATTTCACGAGTCGTGCAGTATACAAATTCTTCATCTTGGCTGAAGGAAGGAATTCAACGTCTCTTATCCAATAAGCTGTTATTTTAACTTCTTGTTTTAGACAAGTCTTTTATCTTGATGCTTAAAGTTCAGATGCTGTGACAGACTGAGATAACATCAGATCATTGAGTTATCTGGATGCTGAAAGTTCAGATGCTGTGACAGAGATAACATCAGATAATTGAGTTCTTATCTGGATGCTGAAAGTTCAGATGCTGTGACAGACTGAGATAACATCAGATCATTGAGTTATCTGGATGCTGAAAGTTCAGATGCTGTGACAGAGATAACATCAGATAATTGAGTTCTAATCTGGATGCTGAAAGTTCAGATGCTGTGACAGAGATAACATCAGATAATTGAGTTCTAATCTGGATGCTGAAAGTTCAGATGCTGTGACAGAGATAACATCAGATCATTGAGTTCTTGTCTGGATGCTGTAAGTTCAGATGCTGTGACAGAGATAACATCACTGAGTTCTAATCTGGATGCTGTAAGTTCAGATGCTGTGACAGAGATAACATCACTGAGTTCTAATCTGGATGCTAAAAGTTCAGATGCTGTGGCAGAGATATCAGATCATTGAGTCCCTGGAAGAACTGCTGTGCACTTAAAATACTTACATTTAAAAATAAAAATTTTTAATCTTTATTATAACTATCCGTATATACAAATCGTCTCTACATATAGACGAATTATAATTGTTACCGGTTGAGAGCAAGTATGCAATATATCACAAACTAGAGCCAGTTAGAAAATTCTGTCGTTTTTGAATTCAACAACCTCAATAATACCCTAAGTACGTTCAAATATCTTTCGAAATGAAAAAAAATTGTTGACCAGTGTTATCGGTGTTTTGATCAGTCTAAAGTGGTTTTAGGTAATCAGTCCCTCAGTCTTGATGGTGGATAATTAGTTTCGGCCTGGCTAAGAGTAACTAGGTACCTGGGTGTTAGACGACTGGTGTGGGTGGCATCCTGGGGAGCAAGACTTAAGAACATAAGAAAGAAGGAACACTGCAACAGGCCTACCGACCCATGCGGAGCAGGACCATGTCCCCCCCCGGATAAGCCCAATGACCCCCACCCGGATAAGCCCAATGACCCACCCAGTCTGGTCACTTCCACTCAAGGAGCACGGCACCAGACCCAGCAGCACAAGCTAGTCAGGTCCAACTCACACCCACTCATGTATTTATCTAGCCTATTTTTAAAGCTACACAATGGAAATACGAGTCCTCGATGACCCACTGACTTTCTGGAGAGAGAAACATGCCAAACTGAGTTTTTGCGGCTATGATATGTAATTTACAATATGTATCATAACTATACTTATGTGTACCTGTACCTAAATAAACCGATCTTCCCTGAGGAAGAAAGATACAAAGAAATATTGGATAAGCACATAACTCGGTCACCCCCCACCCCTTAACAGCTTAACGGAATTAACCGACTCCTTCCCCCACAACGCTCCGCTAGCTTCAACCCCCTTACCTGACCCCCTACCTCCTCGCCACCTACCTCCTCGCCACCTACCTGACGTTACCTAGCTACTACACGGATGGAAATATAAACACACATGCAGTATAATGTGATCCTTTATTGACAACGTTTCGCCCAACACCGTGGGCTTTTTCAAGTCACAAACAGATCTACCTGGGGTGGAAGGTACGCAAGTGACTTGAAAAAGCCCACTGTGTGGGCGAAACGTTCTCAACAAAGGATCACATTATACTGCATATGTGTTTATATTTCCACTGTGTCGGTATTTTATACCATTTATTTCCTAGCTACTACACACTACCACCTTTCACGCCACACCATATTTTATCGGTCGCGAGTGAAGGCACACTCGAAATGCCTTGATTTTCCTTGCACTTCTAGGCCTAAGTTATCTCTCCTTTCAAGGTTTGTGTTTGATGGAGGTATAAATTTACTACCAGTACATGTACAAGGTATACCAGTACATGTACAAGGTATACCAGTACATGTACAAGGTATACCAGTACATGTACAAGGTATACCAGTACTTGTACAAGGTATACCAGTACATGTACAAGGTTATACCAGTACATGTACAAGGTATACCAGTACATGTACAAAGGTATACCAGTACATGTACAAGGTATACCAGTACATGTACAAGGTATACCAGTACTTGTACAAGGTATACCAGTACTTGTACAAGGTATACCAGTACATGTACAAGGTATACCAGTACATGTACAAGGTATACCAGTACATGTACAAGGTATACCAGTACTTGTACAAGGTATACCAGTACATGTACAAGGTTACCAGTACATGTACAAGGTTACCAGTACATTGTACAAGGTATACCAGTACTTGTACAAGGTATACCAGTACATGTACAAGGTATACCAGTACATGTACAAGGTATACCAGTACTTGTACAAGGTATACCAGTACATGTACAAGGTATACCAGTACATGTACAAGGTATACCAGTACATGTACAAGGTATACCAGTACTTGTACAAGGTATACCGTACTTGTACAAGGTATACCAGTACATGTACAAGGTATACCAGTACTTGTACAAGGTATACCAGTACATGTACAAGGTATACCAGTACATGTACAAGGTATACCAGTACATGTACAAGGTATACCAGTACTTGTACAAGGTATACCAGTACTTGTACAAGGTATACCAGTACATGTACAAGGTATACCAGTACATGTACAAGGTATACCAGTACATGTACAAGGTATACCAGTACATGTACAAGGTTATACCAGTACATGTACAAGGTATACCAGTACTTGTACAAGGTATACCAGTACATGTACAAGGTATACCAGTACTTGTACAAGGTATACCAGTACATGTACAAGGTATACCAGTACATGTACAAGGTATACCAGTACTTGTACAAGGTATACCAGTACATGTACAAGGTATACCAGTACATGTACAAGGTATACCAGTACATTGTACAAGGTATACCAGTACATGTACAAGGTATACCAGTACATGTACAAGGTATACCAGTACATGTACAAGGTATACCAGTACATGTACAAGGTATACCAGTACATGTACAAAGTATACCAGTACATGTACAAGGTATACCAGTACATGTAGAAGGTATACAGACCATAGCTGACATCAGTGACATACTACTATATAGAAAGTCCCTTGTTATGCTGAGCATTTCCCGCAAAGGTCAGTTTTGTCCCAGGATGCGACCCACACCAGTCCACTAACACCCAGGATGCGACCCACACCAGTCTACTAACACCCAGGATGCCACCCACACCAATCCACTAACACCCAGGATGTCACCCATGTCAGCATAGTTGCTGATCCCTGAGTTATATAGCATAACATATTAGTATCATCCATGTGCTTTAGATAGGAGATCCCTTTTAGGCCTGTGACTGTGTGACGTCACAGGATGCGCATGTGTAAGCTCGTACCTCTGCCCCGGTCTCACTCGGCGGTAGACCATCCAGGCTAGTACACGGCAAGGCTGGGCTCCATCTTCCATCATCTCAGTCTGACAATATATCGTAACCAACCAACAAGTGTGTCTACCTTCAACCCTCGATATCTCCATTTAAGAACCCCTACGATACCCACACCAGTCCACTAACACCCAGGATGCCACCCACACCAGTCCACTAACACCCAGGATGCCACCCACACCAGTCCACTAACACCCAGGATGCCACCCACACCAGTCCACTAACACCCAGGATGTGACCCACACCAGTCCACTAACACCCAGGATGCCACCCACACCAGTCCACTAACACCCAGGATGCCACCCACACCAGTCCACTAACACCCAGGATGCCACCCACACCAGTCCACTAACACCCAGGATGCCACCCACACCAGTCCACTAACACCAGGATGCCACCCACACCAGTCCACTAACACCCAGGATGTGACCCACACCAGTCCACTAACACCCAGGATGTGACCCACACCAGTCCACTAACACCCAGGATGCCACCCACACCAGTCCACTAACACCCAGGATGTGACCCACACCAGTCCACTAACACCCAGGATGTGACCCACACCAGTCCACTAACACCCAGGATGTGACCCACACCAGTCCACTAACACCCAAGATGCGACCCACACCAGTCCACTAACACCCAGGATGTGACCCACACCAGTCCACTAACACCAGGATGCCACCCACACCAGTCCACTAACACCCAGGATGTGACCCACACCAGTCCACTAACACCCAAGATGCGACCCACACCAGTCCACACTAACACCCAGGATGTGACCCACACCAGTCCACTAACACCAGGATGCCACCCACACCAGTCCACTAACACCCAGGATGTGACCCACACCAGTCCACTAACACCAGGATGCCACCCACACCAGTCCACTAACACCCAGGATGTGACCCACACCAGTCCACTAACACCCAGGATGTGACCCACACCAGTCCACTAACACTCAGGATGTGATCCACACCAGTCCACTAACACCCAGGATTTGACCCACACCAGTCCACTAACACCCAGGATGCCACCCACACCAGTCCACTAACACCCAGGATGCCACCCACACCAGTCCACTAACACCCAGGATGCCACCCACACCAGTCCACTAACACCCAGGATGCCACCCACACCAGTCCACTAACACCCAGGATGCCACCCACACCAGTCCACTAACACCCAAGTACCTACTTACTGCTAGGTGAACAGTGACAGCAGGTGTGTTAAGGAAACGAGAAAACACTATAATGTTTCCACCGGTACCGGGGATCGAACCACAGACCTCAGTGTGTGAGCCGAGTGCGCGACCAATTAAACTAAGACAGGCTTTCATAGTGAAAGGAACTGTGTAACCCTTACAGGTTTAGTGCTCCATTCACCCAGTGAATGTAGTAAAAGATAATTAATTATTTTAACACCACAAACGTCTACTAACGAGGTAACGTGACTCGAAAAAAAAGAGGACACTTTTACCATTATTCGTTCAGTTGTTTTGTAAGAAACTCATTGGTATAATAGTTCAGTTGGCCCTTTTGAACTATAGTATCCTGGGCCATCCTTGAGAGCGCTGGCACTGTGCTTTCCACCTCCAGGACTCGAGTCAGTAACCGTTTTCCCTGAATCCCCTCATGTACGTTGCCTTGTTCACACTCCAACAGCACATCAAGTCATAAAAACTACTTGCGTCCACTCTTTCCTCCCAGAAGCCTGTTGGATGTCAAAGCCCTTAATACTCAAAACCTTTACTCCCTCCTAACTTTTCCTGGGACAACACTACCCCTCCCCCTCACCCCACATTTATATACCCTCCTGGTCATCCTACTTCCCCCCCCATCCTCCCTAAATGTCCAAACCACCTCAAGGTCCCCTTACCAGCCCTCTGAATAATACATTCGGTAACTCCACACCTTCTAATCTCCAAGCTCCGAATTCTCTGCATAATATTCACACCACATATTGCCTTCAAATGCCACATCTTCCCTGCCTTCAGCCTCCTCGTTTCAGTGTTTAAACCCGTGCATTACACCCATGGTATATTTCCATTAGTGTCTATACGAAAGGTTCTCTATCTCCACAGATACCTAAATAACAGAAAAGGCACAATACCGTGACTGGAACGATACACAAATAATCCGCACATAAAAGAGAAGCTTACGACGACGTTTCGGTCCGACTTGGACCATTGACAAAGTCACACTAACAGAGGTGGAGCAGGACGGCTATATATAGGCAGGAAGAGGTGGTGGTGGTAGTAGTAGTAGTAGTAGTAGTAGTAGTAGTAGTAGTAGTAGTAGTAGTAGTAGTAGTAGTAGTAGTAGTAGTAGTAGTAGTAGTACTGTTAGTGTGACTTTGTCAATGGTCCAAGTCGGACCGAAACGTCGTCGTAAGCTTCTCTCTTTTATGTGCGGGTTATTTGTGTATTCCACAGATACCTCGGTGCACCACCCGCCTTCTAACTCGTTATTACTTAAACTGTGAGAATCGTTGTTAATAGTGTGTTACATTTCATGAACTTTGGCAGGGTCTGTGCTACAGAACGTAGAGAACGTCTTCAAGATCGTAGTGGCACCGAGAACATCAATACATCGGGATCAAGGCCATCAAGAACGTACCTTAGGATTTATGACTCGGAGTATCATCTAAGGATACCACGTTGATGATGTCGAATCAGCTTGATATAGACGCTGGGTGGGATTTAGCTGTGGTGAAGGAATACCTCCAGGGAGCCTCGAGTGCGTCCCCGTCTCCCAGGATCGACCTCAAACAGTTCACAGAAGCCAGTAATAAGTTCTTCGTGGAGTTCCCCGTCAGCACAGGCAGAGTCAAGTCCCATCTCAAGGTTAGTGGTCTTTGGAAACGCTCGTGGCTGGTGTTACATCGTGGTAGTAAACACAGCTGGTGATGTATTTAAGAATATTTACACACGTGTGTGTATGTGGGGGAGGGAGGGTGATACATCGTCGTAAGAGCTTACGACGATGTAAATGGTCCAAGTCGGACGGAAACGTCGTCATAAGCTCCTCTCTCTCTTGTGTGCGGGTTATCTGTGTATTGTTCCAGTCACGATATAGCTCCTTTTTCTTCTTTTCTCCAGTATGATAGGTATTTCATCTAGGGCAAACCTAGTCAGTAAATAACAGAGTTCACCCTCTTGCAGAGAGTGAAAAAACGTTTACCGGTGTTGGAGCGTCTCTTCTCATAGAAACAGATTAACTTGGGAAAATGGGTAGATTTTAATATTCCTCAACTTCAGTTTGAGAATTTTTAGGTATCCCTGAAGGGATACCATTAAGAAGGTGCTAGATTTTTTTTCCCCTCTTAGTTTTCGATTATTTTGCCCACAACTCGAAAATGCCTCGTCCTGGAGTTTACCTGAAGAGAGTTCCGGGGGTCAACGCCCCCGCGGCCCGGTCTGTGACCAGGCCTCCTGGTGGATCAGAGCCTGATCAACCAGGCTGTTGCTGCTGGCTGCACGCAAACCAACGTACGAGCCACAGCCCGGCTGGTCAGGAACCGACTTTAGGTGCTTGTCCAGTGCCAGCTTGAAGACTGCCAGGGGTCTGTTGGTAATCCCACTTATGTATGCTTCAAAATTTTGAGGAATTTTGAATCAAAGATTGAACCCATTTGCAGCATCCTGGAATGGCTGAGATAACTTCCAAAATCCTTAGTGGCAAAGCTCCCGACATTAGCAAAAGGCTCCATAAATATGACGGAGAATGAAATTGAACTTTGTAGGAGCAGAATTGGCCATTTTGTGTGTGAAATAATGGGAAAATTTTATTCTCGTTAAAACAGGCTAAATAAATTTCAGTTTACCTCTTCTAAATGGCTTCAACATTTAATGGTTGATGCGTCTTAAGGCCAGGTTAGTACCTGTAATTTTGGCTTGCGAGCAACATCTGCATTATTGTCTTCAGGTACATCCAAGACCTTGTGGTAATGTTCCAGTAATTTCGAAGGCAGGAGTGACCTGTTTTGACTCCGTGTTGACTAGGTTTTTGCAGCTGTTTTGGTTCCATATGATTGGTAATCTTGCTTTTAAAACCCTTTTAAAGATCTTGATAATGTTGGTCTGTAGTTCTCTGCTCCAGGGACAGACTCCTGGAACCTCGTGCTCATCAAGAACTGCAAGAAGCCCCTGTCATGTATCTTCAACTTTCTATGGAGAGCATGGACACGGGGGTCGTTCCACAGTTACTAAAAACAACAGACATAGCCCCACTCCACAAAGGGGGCAGTAAAGCAAAAGAAAAGAACTACAGACCGATAGCACTAACATCCCATATCATAAAAATCTTTGAGTGTGTTCCAAGAAGCAAGATAGCCAACCACCTAGATACTCATCAGTTACACAACCCAGGACAACACGGGCTTAAAGCAGGTCGCTCCTGCCTGTCCCAGCTACTGGACCACTATGACAAGGTCTTGGATACTTTGGAAGACAAACAAAATGCAGATGTAGTATACACATCTGGTAGTAAAATGACAGGATGGATAATGAGAAACTTGAAAACTAGGGATACCAAGCCCATGAGGGTTCTTTCAAATCGTTTGTTCTCTCTAGGTTGGAATACTGCTGTACACTAACCATCCCTTTCAAGGCTGGGGAAATCGCTGAACCTGGAGTGTGTGCAAAGAACTTTCACGGCACACACAAGTACGATAAAGCACCTAAATTACTGGGAACGGTTAAGTCCCTTGATTTGTATTCTCTGGAACGCAGGCGAGAGAGATACATGATAATATACACTTGGAAAATCCTAGAGGGATTGGTACCAAACTTGCACACGAAAATCACTCCCTATGAAAGCAATAGACTCGGCAGACGAGGCAACATACCCACAATGAGAATCAGGGGCGCCACGAGTATACAGAGACAACACAATAAATGTCCGGGGCACAAGACTGTTCAACTGCCTCCTAGAATACATAAGGGGGATTATCAATAGACCCCTGACTGTCTTCAAGAAGGCACTGGACAGGCACCTAAAGTCAGTACCTAACCAACCGGCTGTGGGTCATACGTCACTTCACGTGTGGCCAGCAGTAACAGCCTATTTGCTTAGACCCTGTCCACCACGGGGCCTTGTTTCAGATCGTGCCACGGGGGCGTTGATCCCCGAAACCCTCTTCAGGTAAACTCCAGGTATTGTTTTACTGCCACGTTTGTGGAGTGGAGCAATATCAGTGGTTTTTAATGAGTGTGATGACTCCAGTGTATAGGCTTCTTCTCCATATGCCACCTGATAATGGTATCTTACAATTTTTGTTAAATATGGAGTCCCAAAAGTCTGGGCCTGGGGCAGACTGCATGTGCATGTAATTAATGGCTTCAGTATCTGCAGAATTTTGTTCTTGCTGACCAAGTCGTCGATCTTAAGGCTGATTAATGGCCCACTAAACACTGGGTCGTACTACCACTTAAGTGTTTCACTTGTTATCAGTGTGTGTCCTATCTCCTTTTATCAAATTCTCGATACTAGATTTTCTTTTTGCCTGGACTTCGCATGAGAAAGTTTTCTGGATTCCTTTCTGTTTTACTTTCGGGTTTCGGTTTCCTCTCTCCTTCCTGGTCTCAGTATGTGCTCAGTTGGAGTTCGGCTTTCTCTTTATTCTCTAGCCAGGTTTCTATTCGTTTTTCAGAGTCTGATGGGTCTAGTGTGTGGATGGGGCCAGTGTGGGAGTGTGTGGATGGGGCCAGTGTGGAAGTGTGTGGATGGGGCCAGTGTGCGAGTGTGTGGATGGGGCCAGTGTGGAAGTGTGTGGATGGGGCCAGTGTGGGAGTGTGTGGATGGGGCCAGTGTGGAAGTGTGTGGATGGGGCCAGTGTGGGAGTGTGTGGATGGGGCCAGTGTGGGAGTGTGTGGATGGGGCCAGTGTGGGAGTGTGTGGATGGGGCCAGTGTGGGAGTGTGTGGATGGGGCCAGTGTGGGAGTGTGTGGATGGGGCCAGTGTGGGAGTGTGTGGATGGGGCCAGTGTGGGAGTGTGTGGATGGGGCCAGTGTGGGAGTGTGTGGATGGGGCCAGTGTGGGAGTGTGTGGATGGGGCCAGTGTGGGAGTGTGTGGATGGGGCCAGTGTGGGAGTGTGTGGATGGGGCCAGTGTGGGAGTGTGTGGATGGGGCCAGTGTGGGAGTGTGTGGATGGGGCCAGTGTGGGAGTGTGTGGATGGGGCCAGTGTGGGAGTGTGTGGATGGGGCCAGTGTGGGAGTGTGTGGATGGGGCCAGTGTGGGAGTGTGTGGATGGGGCCAGTGTGGGAGTGTGTGGATGGGGCCAGTGTGGGAGTGTGTGGATGGACCAGTGTGGGAGTGTGTGGATGGACCCAGTGTGGGAGTGTGTGGATGGGGCCAGTGTGGGAGTGTGTGGATGGGGCCAGTGTGGGAGTGTGTGGATGGACCCAGTGTGGGAGTGTGTGGATGGACCCAGTGTGGGAGTGTGTGGATGGGGCCAGTGTGGGAGTGTCTGGATGGGGCCAGTGATATGATGTGAACGGATGTTATGTATGAGATTCTGGATGAGTGTAATGTTGGATGGTCTGTTGTATGAAGATCAGGTCATGTCAGGTCAGGAAACAAGACAAGTGTTTCCTGACGCGGGTCTTAGTCAGATGGCCCACCGTTGGAGCTTTTCGTCATCTGACCGAGGCCTTCCACTAGCTTACCCCTCCACATTATGGCCATAGTTATAATAATTTTATATGAAGCTATTGACGCCCTTAATGGGAGAAAAATTAGCGTTTTTGTCACTGGATGCGTTTAACCTGAGAATAAGCGACAGAGTAATGTATTAAGATACACGAGAAATAGATTGTTTTTGTGTTAAGATTAAGTTCAGTCGTTTCTTCAGTAGCATTTAATAATACAATACTGTTATCTCTTTTCTATCTCTCCATAAATTTGTTTTAATCTGTGACTTCTCTTTGTTCCGTCTATTAGAAGGATTCTGTAAATGTCGCCAAATGTAGCATAGAATTGCAGCTGTGTGTACTTATCTGTAAGACATTAAATCAGCAAATGCCTCACAAGGTTACTTCTTTCAGTCTTAATGAAGGATAAACGAGGGACTAACGACGTCACTCGTAGATTAAGTTCCAATTAGTGTCCTGATCATTGTGTGTGGTTTATGTACAACTTGTCAGTACAGTACCACCATACTAGTACCAGTCTCAGTAGTACCAGTTCCTAGTAACCAGTGTACCAGTAGATGACTCACTACCAACCGTCTGTGTGAATCACTGACTGTTATTCATGTTGCTGCTGACCATAGCAGGATTTCAAACACTGCTCACCCTGTAGGCACTGGTGAGTCAGTCTAAGATAGGGAGCAGAGAGAGGCAGGTCGGCTGATGGTGCTTCCTATTCTTCCCGTTATATATCATACGTACTACCAGCCTATGTGAGTATTTTTACCCCATCCACGTAATCGAACCCACATGACAATTGGTGACAGCGGTGTGGGCGTGGATTTAAGGGTATTTCAGACGTTAGAAGACTGTGGGTTGCCGGCAGGTCAGAGGTGAACTGTCTGCCACCTCCAGCTAGCAGCTACCCTCACTCACCTCCACCCTGTGTACTCCAGCCTGCAAGCCTGTTGCAGCCGTTTTGTCAAGCTTCCTGGCTTGGTTCGTGTGCTAATTGCTTCAATCTCCGAGGGGTTGACCCGGATTTTGCAATTATGCCAGTCAATAAGCCAGACTGTGGAAGTTAATGCTAGTCAGCCTGCCTCAGCCTACCATCCAGCCTGTCTCCTGTCATCCACCTGCTCCTTCATGCTGTGTGCATCGTTACACGTCTTCCAGTCAGCCATTCTCGTGGGTTAAGCCAGTCAGTCAACCCAG